TTTTTTTTTTTTTTTTTTTTTTTTGCTGACTATTGCTCAGAGGAATAATGTCTAGAATATGTAAAAAACTAAAAAAAAAAATCCCAAATAAAAGGCCCAATCAAAAATGGGCAAGCAAAATAAACAGATACTTCATGAAGAACAAATGACCAATACATACGTGGAGAAATGTTCAACATTGCTAGCCATTAGAGAAATGCACATTGAGACAATACTGAGATTCCATCTGACCTCAGAAAGAATGGCCATTATGAAGAAATCAAATAATAATGAATGCTGTGGGGAAAAGAAACATTTCTACCTTGTTGGTCAGAATCTCAACTAGTACAACCACTATGGAAATCAGTATGAAGTTTCCTTAAAAACAAACAAATAAACTAAAACTAAAACTGAAAGTAGGAAGCCCATTTGACATAGCTATCCCCTTTATAGGTATCTCAAAAGTTAAAGGAGCTATGTTACAGTGATACACTCATACCTGTGTTTATAGCAACACAATTTATGCTGACTAGATCTTGGAAGCAGCCTATATATCCATCAACAGATGAATTGCTAAAGAAATTACAAATAGTGGAGCACTACTCTCCCATAAAGAAAGATAAATGAGTGATTTATAGAAAAATGGGTGCTCCTTGAGACTATAATGTTAAGTGAAATAAATCAGACACAAGTTTAAATATTGCATGGTTTCTCTTATATGAGAAATTTAGATTATAATAAAAAATAATAGAAAGTAGGAAGATAGATCTTTCTCAAATGGGAAGGAGATCAAGAAATGGAGAGAGGGAGGTGGGAGAGGGGAAAGAGGATGAAAAAAGAGAATTAATACATGTTACGCACATCTACCAATGCCACATTTACACAGGAATGCAAATATTATGTATTACAAACACGCACTGATAAAAAGCAAAGAAAAAGGAAAGCCAAGATCTATACTTTATCCTTAGAGCAAGGCTGGCCTATAGCTTTGGCTGAGCCTATCTTACAGTGTTCATGCTGATATTAAAAATATCTTAAACTAGGTGGTTTATAAACAACAGAAGTTTGTTTCTTACAGTTCAAGAGGCTGGGAAGTTCAAGGTCAAGGGGCCACCAGATTCAGTTCTCATAGATAGCGCCTTCTTGCTGTGTGGGTGGCTAGCTATCTGGTATCTCTTTTATAAGGTTACAAATCCCTTTCACGAAGTTTCTGCCTTCATAATTTTAGTCTTTCAAGCACAACCTACCTACCTCCTCATACTATCCTCTAGAATATTAGGTTTTCAACATATACATTTCTGGGAAGACAAACTTTCAGGTCATTGCACTATTCCACAGAAGGATCCCTTGGTTGATTCTGTCAGAGCTTCCAGAAGTTCCAGCATGGTGTAATCAGGCTACGACCAGGGTAAGTGACTGAGTGGAATACAGTGAATGAATGCTAAGCACCTTTGCTTCACTGGGAACTCACCAACAACATCTACAAAAGTCTAGCTCTTCTGTCCAACCAGCTCTCAGATCCTTTTTTTTTTATTTTCTCTTAGAATGACTTGAACTCTGTCCTGAATCCCTTCCTCGTCCCTCAGCTCTTCTGCTGTGCTTTTAACCTGTTTCATTATGTTTGTTTACATAACTGGCTTTTGTCTCTTGTAGAACTGTAATCTATTTTCACTACTTCTGTTATTTATTCAACCTAACCAAGTAGGGCTTTGTGTATCATGCGTACTCCATAAATATTTGAGCATGGGGACAAAAGTATGCAGAGGTTATTTGTTTAGAAGTAAAGATTCTGAATCTTGCTCCCTAATATTCTGGGAATCTGCATGTTAATTGAGCTTGCTCTCCCCCTCTTTCACAAAAATACTCCATGAATCACACTTTAGGAATATTGCCTATATTATAAAGGTGGAGATGATCTTGATAATCCTTGTATTCACAATATAGCTTTTTCTTTTTCTTTTTGGTACTGGGGATTGAACTCAGGACCTTGCACTTGCTTGAGCTACATTTTGAGACTCACTACATGTTTTTAATGAATGGATGTAAGTATGAGTGGATGAATTTATACTTTTCGTGAATGGATGAGAAAGACGGATCTACAACTGATTTTTACTATCACATTTGACACAGTGCTGACCATGAACCCCATGGTATATTCTCCAAGTTCATTAGTCATGTAAAATCACAAAATGTTCACACTTAGGGGCCTGAAATTATTTATCCAAAATTCTGTGGCTTCAGAGTGGCTAGTTCTGTAATCCTTTATTGGCTCCTACACCAGACTTCATAATTTATTGACTCAATTTTTAATATTCCCCACTTTTACTCAAGTCCTTATAAAACACTTAATATTGCAGGCTTTATGCTAGGGGCCAGAAAAAAAAAAACAACTGAACAACAACAACAAAAAATCACTATAATCAATGGGTACATAATAGAAGAGAAAACCAACAACTACAATATGATCTCTCAAATAATATAAGAGAGAGAAAATATTTTCCAGTACTTACCTTAAATTTCACCCATATAATCACATGATGAATGTGATATAAATCTCTGGAAACAACTGGTTTCTATCCTTTCTGGCTGATTATCCAAACAATCTCTGTTCCTTCCTTTGCTCCCCAGTTCTCTGGATTGAAGAGCCCACTCAAACAAGCTTCTTGGCTCCATTTTTAGCTCTTCTTCCCACTCTAGAGCCAATAGCAGCCATGACAAATAGATGGATTTGGCTTGGAGATTTAGGTGGCCCACATATGAAGGGAAATATCACCAGTTGTGTACTTTACAGTTTCCTTAAGATAAATAGCACAACACAAGTGGATATACTTTAAATGTTTGGGGCCCAATGTGATATTGTAGAAGGAACAGTGAATCAGGAATATGAAGGGGGAAACAAAAATGATAAATACAGGCTTGCTTCCCCCCACCCTTCATTTATTTATTTTTAAAGCACAAAAATTTCAGTCCTCAAAGTGTTTTCCGGTATTAACTTTGTGACACTGAGCAAGGCCGTAGTGTCTCTGGACCTTGATTTCCTTATATGGAAAATGAGGGAGGTTAGTCTTGGTTATCTCTCAGGTCCCTTACAGCTTTAAAAGTCTGATAAAAAATTTTATTTACCTACAACTTTATGTAAAGATCCAACAGGCTCCCTTCCTCTCCTTCATCTTTTGCTAGCTTGGGTTGTGTCATTCCGAATAGGTGGACATGAAATGAAACTTTGAATCTAAAATTAAACAGGACATGGTTCTATAGAAAAGTTGCGTGGACATGAATAGAGATAGCCTGCAGGGTGCAAAACACCCAAGGCTTTTGACAGAGTTTGGACAGGACCTGGTTGTCAGAATAAATGTGTCTTTATAATTTCTATTGCAATATGTTTGGCCGTTGACCAGACATGTATGGAATGCTTACTGCACTTGTTCAAATGGAAAGGGCAACAAGAGACAGGGAGAGGGAGGAAAGGAAGGGAAAAAAATTTAAAGAAAAAAATAATTGAAGGGAAATAATGGAAATAGATATATTGCAAATGGGGAGCAAAAGAATGTTTGGAGAGGGAAGGAGAACCAGATCAGAAAGATTAAGATGTGTTATGTACATGTGATCATTATGTACTGCAAACATGTATTGAAAAAACAACAAAAACCAAATAATACACTAAGTTCCTAAAACTATTGGGGAAAAGCAAGCTAAAAACTCTTAGTTTTTAGCTAAATTGTAATTAGGTTTAAAACTGCTGTAGGATTTAAAGAGACCAAGAAACTTCCAAAAAATAAATAATGACAGTTTTATAGTAAATATTGAAGGATAATAGCTACATATTTATG